AGGGGCATATCATTAATAAATTAGCAGGCAGCAGTGTAACAAAATGGCGTACAATTCGTCGTTTGAGATTCTCTTTGAAAGTGCTTGTTTGAAGGCTCTGAAGTCGTTTAGCTTGGACGAATTTAGAGAAATACAGCAAAAGGCTCTTAAAGAGATTGTTCTTGGAAAAGATGTCCTTGTTATTCTTCCTATACTGGCTCGGGCAAATCTCTTATTTTTCAAACAGCGCCACTAGTGTATTTTGCTCGTTTTTCTGGCAGATAATACATCCATTTGGATTATTAAACCCTGCACATGTTTTACTTGGGGTAATTTCCATTCCTTTCTCTTTTTTAAAGCGCTAACTATTACATTATATCGCTACTTCGCGAAGTTTTCATTTCACATAATTTCCCGCCTTGTAGCAAAACCTTTACGGCTGTTGTCAGATATTTCACTTCCGTTCACTGAAAAATTCACTTCCGTTACGTCATAATATGCTAATTACACAAAAACGTCACGGACATGCGCGACACGTTTCGAACCCCATGCGCCCAGCCGTCAGGGGAGAGAGTATCGCGGGCGCACGAAATCCCGACGGCTGGAGACTGAGCCTACAGGATTGGCGGCTCTTGATTTTCAATTGTCTGGTACGTGCTTTCAGCTATGTCTATTTACACCGATCGCTCAACTATATCAAAGCTGTTTTATGTTTTTTTTTAAATTTTGCAACGGGAAAGTTTAACAGATCCTTGTGAAAACGTTTTTTTTTAGTATTGACGAATAGTTGCTCTCCCACATCACATAAGCATTGTGATTAGTTTTCCATCGTGAAGGCAGTTGTTGARCTGAGTGATTTAGATAATAGGTTATCGTTTTTTTAAGGCCGTACAATTACTATCAGCCTTGACGCGTCGTAGTGTCTCTTCAGACCTCAGACAACTGCTTACATTGGACCCATTGTTCTTTAGCTCAAAAAGCGATCATATGTACATCAGTACTTGAATTTTGCGATTTCTATATGAGAAGAAAAACTATGGCGAGTGGCTGCKAAAAAGATACTTTGTGACATCCTTTATGGTATTTTGAGTTTGTCACTTTTGAGGCATTTGTCCTTTAACATTTGAAGAAAGGAATGATATAACTTCAAGTCTGTCAGTTTCCCGATGCAAATGGCSAAAAACAGTACAATACAAATACAATACAACTTTGCCACTATAGCGGTTTTCATCGGACTGTGAAAGAATTTCTTATCGTCAGGCAAGTTTCTAATAGTCGTATTCGAACAAAGAAAAAAGTCGTTTGAACTTGCTTAATGTCTACTAGTGTCGCTCTCTTAGTAACTATTTCCCCGTCCTTTGAAAAACAACCACTATACTAAACCAAGGATCGATTAAACTCCCGATTTGATTGGCAAGTCTAGAATATTATGTCTAATATTATGTCTAATATTCAACGATGTCGGACCGTGTCAGTCGCGATCGCCCGGTATGGCTGATAGTGCATTGTGATCGGATCATAATGCTATCTTTAGGGATGGTCAAAAGGTGACGTGTATTTATTTGATGCTATTGTTGTCTACTACTTGAGGTCCTTATGACGGCGTTAAACTTCAAGTTATAAAACATATTATATCTATAGAGCTGTATTATTCATTGGTATTCAAAACAGCTTTCTATATTTGAGCATTTCTTCCCGAAAGAATGGCACACAAGAGTAATTGAATAAATGATTGAATGCTATTATTTATCATAAAAGTCAMTTTCATTGACTCCATCTGTAGCTATTACTGACCCTTGTATCATTATTGGAGTCTATTATGGCATTATAGCTTTCAGTGTTATCGCCAAGTATGATAAGACACTCATTTGCTGGAGATGAACGTGACTTTATGATATAGTTGCTGGCGTTTGATGATGATCTATGAATGTGTTTCTCCGTATTGTTATTGTAAATGCTATTTCGATCGGATAATCGTCGAATCGAAGTGCTTGCGCTATTTGCTTATCGCGTCACAAGTGGACGAGCGTCTTGTTCAGGATTAAAATACAAACATAATCATAAGTATTWCCTATCTTAATATTGTTACAATTCGACCTTAAAATCATGTATTGTATTTTCAAAAATACCTCTGTAATATCAAACTATTCTCCCTTCT